CTCTGTCATAAGCAAAAGTTCACAATAAATAATAAACACAGTTTTGGTACTTAAGTTGAAGAAATAGATCGCTAAACCACAGCCCACTCTATGGCACGAAAATGCGCTTTAAGCATTTTACAAAAATTACAAATTTTGTAGGAAGAATTGAAAAAACGCTATTTTCAATGATGAAAGAAACTCCAATATAGTTGATCCAGATTGGCACCACAACTTGGAGAGTCATTCGGCTTCGATGGCAAACCTGTCCTTGGCGAAAAGGATCTTTGGTTTAAAGCGGAGATGGGCACCGCCTTGCCCGCGGGCAAAAGCTCTTTTAAGTTATCTATGTATTTTGTATAGATGTGAGCAGAGTAAAAGCTCTATCTGCCCGTCGCTGGTTTAAAGTAATAAGTATGTAGCTTTGGAAAACAAATAAGATCTTTTCACTATGGGAAAAATGAATATCAGGAATGAGAAATATTCTTTGCGCATTAAGCTGGCAAAATTTTCTAATTTCTAATATATATATTGAGCTTTATACCACGATTGTTTATTAGGAAAAATTTAAAAAGCAACAAAGTCTAAGCGGTAGAAGTTATAGCAGCTATTTCAGAGATCACCACATCTCTTCATCAGACTTCTTTTTTCTGGACTTCAGCAGAAATCGAACCTGCGTAATCGATGTTCAAAGTCGGAAGCGTTAACCACTGAGCTATATACATCCCGTGAACTCTTGTTGCTAATTCATTTTAACAACGCTTTTTTCCTTATTCAACCAACTACTATTAAGTGCAGCTGATTTTCCGCTATTTAAACTCGACAGCGTGGTTGTAGTTTTTCAATTCTATACGTCCTTTTGCTTATTTGCTTTTTTGTATAGTTTCAGGCAGGCTCTTCCTAAACTATGTATTTGTCAATATTATTGCGGCTTATTAACATTTTATTTTAAATATTTTTATTGAGCTCATTTCGAACGAAGATATTTGGAAATTCCAGCGGTAAAACCTTGTTATTCACACCGTGCAAACAACAAAATCGTTATCCAAGGAACAAAATATCTTCTTTTAGAGTAACTAGCTTCAAATATGGGCTTTAATACCACTGGGGGTTTGTAAGATCTACATCCCAACAAGATTTTTATTTATTCAAAACAGAATGATAACGTGTTGAAACTTAAATAAACCAAACTTCACAAATAGGAGGAAATAGTACAAATTTTACTACAAAATTTCGGTAAAATATATGCCGCAAAACGTAAAAAAAAAATATAACAGTTTCTATGAAAATTTCTGCATAGTGGTACAATAAAATTATCTTGCTTTAAACTAATGCATATTCATAACTTTTTGGCTTACATTATATTTAACATATAATTATGAACTTAAAAATAAAAATAATTACCAGCACTTTTGGTACTTAGCTTTGTCTTAACTGAATGTTAAAAATTTTCATAAACATAATATGTAAGCTTCAGCGATATCATCAGTATACTCTTTCTTGTTCATTACGCTGTCCCTTTTCTGCATTATTCGTAAACTTTCTAAGGTGAGCCTTGTTTTTGTTATTTTCTCTGCATCACTTATTTTAGTGTTCGCCAAATCAGCTGTATGGCTACTGGTATTGGTATGTTGTGCTAGCTCTGTGCTGTTTTTTTGTTTGTTTTTTAATGACTGCTTCGTGTACGCTTAGGCGAGTACCAATGGCTCGCTTTGTTGTTCCAATGTACCTACAATTTGCAGCACTTTTCGGATTCTTTACCATTGCACTTTATTTCATAAACCACATTGTTTCGCTGCTTGGTTTCTATAGGGGTTTTTGTTTTTGTTAAGACTGTGGGTAAAGAGCAGTTGGATTTGTATGCTAGCGTTGTGTTTTCTTGTTTAGCAAAGTGTTGATTAAAGTTCGCAGACAACCTTGGAATGTAGGTAACGCTGAAGTATCGATTTGTGGTGTTAGTTGTTTCTTTACATGATGTTATTGTAAGCGGTTAAAGCGGTTGTTGGTTGAAAAATGCGGAAGAAAGAACACGTTCAATAAGTTCGAATTTATTCTCATAATTCCAAATTTTAAAAAAGAAAAATTGTCAAATATGATACCTTGTCAATGCCTATCAGGCGCTTATGAATTAGTTACATAAAAACTTAGGTATTCAACTTACAAAGTGCCTATTAGACGCGAACATGCCGGCCGCCTTGAACGACTGTTCTAAATTTAACTTCTAAATGAGACACAATTGCTTACAATAAATAATTAATTAGAAAAAAGATCTTTCTTCGTTGGCAAGAGCGACAGTTTAACAACAGGACGCAACAGTTCTCCTTCAGAGGTCCTTATGCTAACGACCCGAATGCGCTCATCAGGGCCAGGGTGACCGTCGAGAACACGACCAAGCTTCCATTTCGTCGGCGGTGCATTGCTGTCGTGAACGATAACCACATCGTCTTTTTGCAAATTTTGCGTTGAACGAAACCATTTCGTGCGTTGCTGAAAATTTGCGGGATATTCCTGTCGCCAGCGCTTCCAGAAATGTTGCCTTATCGCTGTGATGATTTGCCATCGTTGAAAGAGCGTTCCCTTGAAAATTTCCAAATCAGGATCAGGGAGTCCTTTTAGCGGTTCCCCAACCGTAAAATGACCTGGAGTTAGGACCTCGAAATCATCAACATCAGATGGTATCCAACAAATAGGCCGAGAATTTACGCAGGCCTTGACCTCTCTTAGAATAGTATTGAATTCCTCGTACGTTAAAAGAGTAGAGTGCAAGGCACGTTTCAGGTGGTATTTGATGCGCTTTATACCAACTTCCCAATACCCAGCCATGTGAGGTGCGCTAGGTGGATTGAAGTGCCAAGTCGTTTGGCCGTCAGCGAAGTAGGATGCTAGCTTTTCGTCACCAATACAGCGTTCAAATGCAGCACGTAACTCCCTTTCTGCTCCGACAAAATTGGTTCCGTTGTCAGAATAAATTAGTTGACAGTACCCTCTTCGATTCGTGAAGCGTTTGAAGGCAGCGATGAAGCTAATTGAAGAAAGATCCCCGGCTAACTCCAAGTGCATTGCGCCTGTTCTCATACATATAAAGGAGCAAATGTAAGCCTTCGTGGACTTGGCACCTCTTCCTTGGGAAAACTTTATATTATACGGCCCAGAAAAGTCGACTGCACTATGAAGAAAACATCGTGTACTCGTTACACGACTGAGCGGCAGATCGGACATCAATTGCTGTAGTGGTTTGCGATTCAGCCGCTTACAGCGAACACAATTACGATATACACCTCGGACTAGATTTCGAACACCGGACACCCAGAATCTACGTTGAATTGCAGCTTGCATCATTTGCGGACCAGCATGCAACATAGTTATGTGAATTTCGGCGGCGATTACTTTAGCGAGGGAACAATTCTTAGGCAATATCATCGGATGCTTAACGTCGTTTGAACACGCTGCGTTTTTAATACGGCCGCCTACTTGAAGAATGCCCTCGGCATCTAGAAATGGCTGAAGGTGGACAAGGCTGCTGCGCATCGGCATCGGCTTATTTAATCTGAAATTAGAAATTTCTTGCGCGAAGGTGTTAGATTGCGAGTATTTTACCAATACTAATTCAGCAGCACGAATTTCTGAGCAGGTTAAAGGACCCGATAGTGGTTTTTTAGTGCTGGGCTGAATAAAGGATTTGCGAAAATTGTTGGCAAAGCGAATTAAATTCGCGGTTACTCGTTTAAGTCTGTTGTAAGAGTGGTATCTGGTTAACAAATCCCATTCTTCGGAGGTTTGTGCTAAATTCGAAATGGATTTTCCGGACCTCCGTTGTGTGCTGCGTAGAAGGTTGAAACCAGAAGCGATTACGTTCTTGAAGCCAAGTTGGCCCATTCCACCATAGAGGGTGGGCGAGAAGTTGCGAAGGTGTGAAGCCCCTTGAGGCACAATCTGCGGGGTTATGTTCAGAAGAGACGTGTCTCCACTGTGCTGATCTCTTGTACGGTAGCGACGCGATTTGCGACGAACACTGACCAACAACTCGGATTACCTTGCAACCATGCTAATGCTACCATGGAGTCGGTCCACGCATACAGCCTCTCAAGCATGCAGCCAAAACTTGATTGTATCTGCCGAACTAGCTTCGCGCCCAAATGAGCTGCACAAAGTTCTAATCGTGGCAGTGACGTAGTTTTCAGTGGCGCGACCCTAGTCTTTGCAGCGATTAACACAACGCTAACCTTGTCGTCGGTGGTAAGGGTTCGACAATAAACAGCTGCAGCATAAGCAGCTTGCGAAGCATCTGTGAAGACGTGGAACTCATAATCTACAATGTGACTAGTGCCAAGCCAGCGACTTAATTCGAGCGATGCAAGTGTAGCTAGCTCACGTCTGTGCGCCAACCATTCAGCAGCTACGTCAGGTGGCACTAACTCGTCCCAGTCCACCTTCGAGCGCCAAATTTTCTGCAACCATATTTTAGAGCGGATTGTACAAGGAGCGATAAGTCCAAGCGGGTCGAATATCTTGCTCGAATCGGAAGGAATACGCGCTTTGTTAGCTTGTTTGGAAGCTCTTCTAAATTAAATGCGATTGAGAGCGAATCATTGTCTGTATGCCAGATACAGCCTAATGTTCGAATGTTATTCCTTTCAGCAAGGAGATGTGATACCTGTTTCGATGCATGCGGTATTTGGTTTCTTAGCGGTTGGCAATTTGTCGCCCACTTTCGGAGCTCGAATCCGCTCTGAGAGAGCACGTAAGAAACGTCCCTTTGAAGCGTAAATAGATCTTGAAATGAGTCCGAACCCGTTAGTAAACCATTGAAGCGTAAATAGATCTTGAAATGAGTCCGAACCCGTTAGTAAATCATCCATATAGAAGTCGGACGTAACGATTTCAGTGACGTTTTGGTATGCGTCGCCTATATCCAGCGCTGCTCGTTGCAAGGACTTCACGGCAAGGTGCGAAGCGGATGCCACCCCATATGTCACCCTTAAAAGACGATAGTCACGCAATGGTTCTGAAGAACATCCATGTCATACAATACGTTGATAATCAACATCCTGCTCTGCAACGTAGACCTGACGATACATTTTCTCGATGTCAGCAATAAGAACGTAGCGATGAGTGCGGAAGCGCACCAAAATCGAGAACAGGTCTTGTTGCAGCCGAGGGCCTGCCATTAGAGCGTCGTTCAGTGAATAGCCGGACGATGTCTTCATGGACGCATTGAACACAACTTTGAGCTTGGTGGTGGTACTCGTTTCTCTGACCACTGCGTGATGCGACATGTAGTAAGTGGCGTGAGTAACTGCACCGGCTGACTCCATGTGACCCAAGTCTAAAAGTTCTTGCATGAACTTGCTGTATTCTTCATGAAGACCTTTGTTCGCGGCGAATATCCTTTCCATTCGCAGCAAAGCTCGAACTGCTGCGGCCCTTGATTCACCAATCGGAACCTCCTTTTTAAGAGGCAAGCGTACAATGAAGCGACCGTCTTCTGCTCGTTTGGTGGTATCTTCGAACAGCTTCTCGCAGTAAAGTTCTTCGGACGTATAATGCTTCTTTGGCTGCAACTCCTCGAGTTCCCAAAACCTTGTTATGAGTTGCGTTAGCTGGGTGTCACAATAAAGCGTAGAGATAGAATTAGGAAGTTTTTGCAAAGAAATCGCGTTTCCAAACAACACCCAACCAAATGCCGTATTCTGCGCCATGGGAGTGCCATTTTTCCCCATCCGGAGACCTTCTAGTAAGAACTTATCCATTTCGTCCATACCTATCAAAACATCAATAGGTCCAGGCTTGGAGAAGTTAGGATCAGCCAGGGGTAAGTCACAAGTATTCGGCCAAAGTGATGAGGGTACAGCGGTAGTTGGAAGGTCATTAGTTATTTTCGACAAAATAAGAGTACTTATCTGGAAGTTCGAGACTAATGACCGGGGAGCTACACAAACTTTAACTTCTCCCTTGGTGCAACCTCCTTTGATTGATCCAATACCAGTGACGCATATTGACGATGAGCTTCTAGGAAGATGAAGGCGTTGGATGCAAGATTCAGTAATGAACGAAGCATGTGAACCGTTGTCGAGAAGTGCCCGAGCAGGTTGCCAGCGACCGGCGTGGTCTTGCAAAAAAACTTCAGCGGTAGCCAACAAAATAACGCGATCAGCATGAGCGTAGTGCGAGGCAACATTGACATGTTGACTGGTTTCGTTGATAGCGAGTGCAGCCTGTTGACTGTTAAAGCTAGCGTGCAGTAGTGAGTGATGACGTCGTTGGCATATGCGACACGATGATGCGCTACGACATTTGGCCACCTGATGCCCCTTACTAAGACAGTTCAAGCAGGCACCATGAGCTTTGATAGCGGTTATCTTGGCTTTTGAGTTGAGTTTATCACACTTTGAACAGGTATAAATTTTGTGCTCACCATTGCAGTACGTACAAAATAGTGTTTTAGTGGCATTAGCGGTATCAGTTGATGTAGATCCATTTGTCTCGCCTTGTTTACAGGTTGAGTGGAGAACGTTTTTTGCGGTGATTGTTTTAGTGTTTGCGGACAACACCGGCACCATCTCCAAAGAACGAACTCGAGTTTCGAGAAAGTCGCGAAGTGCGGTAAATGACGGCAAATCGTCTGCCACAAGCGATAACTCCCACTGCTTTCGGGTTTCGTACGCTAGTTTTGACACTGTTAGGTGAATAAGGCAGTCATCCCAGAACTCAACTGGCCGACCGAGTGCACGCAGCGCTCCAACATGCTGCAAGGTTAAGTTGAGCACGTGCTTGATGGCCTTGGCTGAATCCTTTGCTGCTCTATCAATCGCTGACAGCGCTTTGATATGGCTGTCAACAATAACCCGTATTACCTTATACCTTGAAGTCAACAATTCCCAGGCTTCAATGTAGTTGCTGTCACTAACTGCCAAACTGCTAACCAAGTCTAACGCTTCACCCTTCAGACAATTACGCCGATACTGAAGTTTCTGCCCGTCCGACAGACTTGCGTTCGCATTAACTAGCGAACAAAATGCGTCGTGAAAAGTAAGCCATTCGGTGGGATCGCCGCCGAATGATGGTAACTGCAACTTCGGAAGCGGCACTGGTGCAGGACTTGTGTGTATAGCATGATGAGTAGGTTGATTTTACGTTGCGGTAAGGCGTAGGAAATTTGCCTTGGTGATGGTGTACCACTCCTCACCTTGAATACGTGACTGCTCTTCCACCTCAACGTTTTCATCGCCACAAGATATTTCCACTTCTTGTTGAGCTTCACAGAAGCGGCACCATTGTTCCTCCAATAATTGCAGATACGTGGAAATAATCTCCACATCTACTGAAAGCGCGTCGGATTTGCTTGTTTGCAAATAGCGCTTAATGGCGTTCAATGCGGAATCTCTAATTTTCAGCGACATTTTGCTTGTACGGTGAAATTTCAGTAATTGCGAATAATGCGGGTTATATTGGCTGTTATAAAACTAAGACAGTATCCGGCTCGAAGGACCAAAATGTAAGCGGTTAAAGCGGTTGTTGGTTGAAAAAAGCAGGAAATTATTGCGGAAGAAAGAACACGTTCAATAAGTTCGAATTTATTCTCATAATTCCAAATTTTAAAAAAGAAAAATTGTCAAATATGATACCTTGTCAATGCCTATCAGGCGCTTATGAATTAGTTACATAAAAACTTAGGTATTCAACTTACAAAGTGCCTATTAGACGCGAACAGTTATATTTTGGCGGCTTTTTATTCCTGCAGTTGTTTGCTTTTTAAAGTCGCGCGTTAATTTTTCTGGGTTGCTGTCACTTTTTGGGATCTTTTTAAGTTTTTATATGTTGATATCGTGAAATTTCCTGTCACTCAATGTGAGTACTTTGTGTATTAAAATTTTAGCCGTATTTGTGTATTAAAATTTTAGCCGTAAAGGAAATTTATCGGACGACCCAAAGACGACGGTTTTGAGTACCATTCTAGTAGCAGATTATATTTTCCCTGTGGATGCGAACGTCAAGAAAGGGGATGCTGGATTTGTCTTCCATTTCCATGGTAAATTGGAGTTTTTGGTGGTATTTGCCGAGGATTTTCAAAATTACATTCACGTCATTGCGGTTAACTATTGCAAAGATATCGCCTACATATTTCGATATAAATTTAATGTCGGTGTTTGTATGTTTTATCTCCGAAATGGTATTGTCAAGTGAACCGTCCTTGACAATATCCGCAATCGTGGGAGTAAGGGGGTTGCCCATTGGCATTCCAAAGGTTTGAGAATAGAATTTATTACTGGATATGAAATAATTGTTGTTATTAAGACAAAAGTCCAGAATATTTTGTAATTTTTGACAACTTTTTCATTATTAGTTTTGAAGCTAAGACTTTTGGTATGTTCGTGAAAAGAGACCACATCAAACGAAACAAGTACATCTTCTTCACACGCATTTATATCGGACAGTTTATTTTTTAATTTGAAAGAGTTTTTTATATTGTAGTCTTCAGAGAAGAGTGGCTTTAGAATTTCTTAAACAATTGGACGTAGAGGGATTTCCGGCTTATGGAGTTTTGGCAACCCATAAAGTCTCGGAGCCGTTGCTGCAATACTCTTAAAATGTTGCTTTTTTTTGCATTTATGTATTTACATTTGTATATGTAATTCACTAGACTGTTATCTTTTCTTTCCAAAGTGTTTGTGGGATCTACTCTTTTGTACGTATTCTTGTCTCCTAATAGGCTGTTAATTTTTTCTAGGTATTCTGTTTTGTACATTGCCACTGTTTTATTTCCCTTATCTCCGTCTGTTACAATGACGTTGTTTGCGTGTGCCTGGAGCAACTTTTTTTTTAATGTTGCTAAAATGAACGTTTCCGAGTAAAAATTAAGAAATGGTATTGTCAAGTAAATCGTAAAAGGACAATATCCGCAACCGTGCGAGAAAGAGGTTTGCCCATTGGCATTCCAAAGGTTTGAGAATAGAATTTATTATTGCACACGAAGTAATTGTTGTCCTTAACCCTCCGTTAGGCGCGTGGACTACATATGTAATCCACACATCTTTTAGCAGTGACCAATTAAAACTTGGGTGGAGGATGACATTGCCCGCTTGAATAGC